GCCAAAGGCCAGTGAAAGTTGAGACGGCAGCCGGGTTTTTATCGATGTTTGCCATCCTTATGTGTGCCATCGTAAAGTCATGGTTTGCTGGAATTGCGTTTTAATTTAAATCTCCGAACTTCTGAAGCTGAGATATTCTATAGGCTTGTAATGCAGGCTACAATTTAAAAACGGGTGGGACTCATTCAAAAATTCGAGGGGGTTCGCTAGAAAACAGGGGGGTTCGCTAGAAAAGGGGGTCGGCGCCCGAACCATAAACCCCCCCCCCCCCTGGCTACGGGCCTGACTCAATTATCTATTCTGAAATAGCTGTTTTGAATTTGATGTATACAGGCCTCTTGATATTTTCATTTGATAATTTGTTTTATTTTTATACAGATACAATTTTGCAGTTTTTATATCTATTTAGTTTTGTATGCGTTTTGTATGTGTGAATGTTCCTCTGTTTTAAAGGAGTGGGACCAATAATCTTACCTTATCTTCTCTTAGAGCCTAATTGGGAATAAACGCCGGGGGTTTATTCTTCCTTGAATAAACGCCCCCTAAAATGACTGGTAAAGCAATCTAGGAAGCAACATCATTTCTCAACACATTCTATTAATGTTCTACTCCAGTTCAATTACATTTTTCTAACCTGGTTGAAATCAGTAAGTTTGAATGATCACGAAATAACACCCATTTTGACGATGGGTTCATGTTCCACATTTACAGTGAATTAAGGGGAGTTTATTTGAGTAATATATAGTTATGTTTAGTGTTGGAATTGTTTACTGCAGTAGCGTGAAAACAAATTTAACGCCCTCACAACAGAACTTAGGACTTTAAAATAATGGCTGATAAAAGTTCAAAATGAAGCGCCAAAAAAATTCCCTTGATCTTTTATCAAGAATTGTCGGCAGTTATAGAGATCTAAATAATCTGTTGTGTGATGTAACATAGAAGATAAAACTTTAAAGCATTGTCTTTTATTTATTTACTTTTTAATACCTACTTAAAAGCCGTGAGTCCACACCCATCTCAGGCCCACCATGGTTGGGACTGAGGCGCGAACATTTTGGTAAATATTGTACCTCTGATGGCACGGTTGGCGCATCGGTTGTGTGGCTTGTACCATGGAGGGAGCTCCATGCTTGACTCAGAGTTCGAAACTCTCGCTGTGCAATCTCCATGGATTATTTATGCAGTTCATTTCAACAATTTTCCGGCATCTTTTTGGACTTATGAAATCGTATTGCCGCCGAAAAGTTTGGGTCTAACCCCCCTCCCCTTAAAAAATATGTGAGGCCCCGTGGTTGGGGCTGAGGTAAGAAAATTTATGATTATGGCACCGTAAACGCCTGTTATGTGTGTATACATACATAAAAAAAAATGAATAGTTGCGTTTTCTTTTTTCCATGAAATGACAAACTCCAAAGAGAATTTTTGATTCCTAGATGGTGGGAAATGAGCTTTCCCGACTTCTGACATCGACATCGTTATTCTCGAACGATGGCCAGGACCTATGGCCGGCGCAGTATAAACCAGACCTGGGTGGAGTTAACACTAGCAATTTTAATAACCTAGGAATAACCTAAGAAAAAATGTCGTTTTTTGGTATAGGTCTCCAGGGAGTAGATCCCCGGCAACTATTTTAACTACCAGGGGCGGATTTAGAGGGGGGCTTAACAGGCTTTAGCCCCCCCCCCCCCTAAAATTTCATAGCCATTTTACAGTAGTTGTTTTTCAGTGACAAAATAAAAATGAAATACGTTTTTTAACCGATCAGCGGACAAAAAACGTAGATAAGAAAGCCGCTTTTGCCTACTTTTCAAAGTGGCGGACATGGTATCGATTGCCCCCCCCCCCACTTTTCACC